TGCTAGACACCTAGGCTGCACTCACAGGGCCTGCCACCCACCGCTCCCTTCCTGTGTTTAGGCTGCGTGCTCACGCCACATCCGACTGTGGACTCTTAACCAAGGACTTGGCTCGGTCGAAACGTCCACTCAAGTGCGCCGCAATGCTAGGCACAAATCAGAGCTGAGCGCAGGGCTCCTTTCCCTCTCCACAAATGCCTTCCAGCCTGGCATGTCAGAACTTGAAATGATTTTACTCAGAAGCAGACTGTTTTCTCTCCTCTTAGGATGTAAACCTAATTTGGGCAGGAGTCCAGGCAATAGAGTACTGTGCCTATCACACCTGTGGACACTCCGTCCTAAGTATTTGTTGAATGAAGGTCACGATGGATACCTGGCGGGGGCTGTGCCTCCTTCACTCCCTTTGACACACTCATTATGCGCTGAAATGGGCCACAGAATGTTGTTGGATTCTCTGTAGTTTCTCGGCTCCTTTATGTGCTATGTCAGTGTCACCCGTTCCTCTGACTGCTAACATTTTTTAATAAGGGGATTACTATCCAACACACATAAGGAACTCCTGTGAACAGAAAACCAAGTAATTTGATTAAAAAATGGTCCAAGGAATGGAATCAATATTTCTGATGATAACATACAAATGACCAACAGGCAGATGAAAAGGTTCCCAATGCCACTAACAAGGAAAATGCAAACACAGGCCCCGGAACTGTTACCAGGACCTGTTAGATTGAATATTAATATTAAAAGAGAACAAGGCACTTTGTTGGTGGGCATGTAAATTGGTGGTGTCGTCACTATGGAAAGCAGTGTGGAGGTTCCGCAAAATGTTAAAAAGTTATTACCATTTAATCCTTTAAATCCTTTCTTTGGGTATACGGCCAAAGAAATTAAAATCTAGATTTCAACGAGTCAGCTGCACTCCCATATTCATTGCAGCATCAATTGCAACAGTTATGATCTGGAAACAGCTGGGTGTCCATCTATGTGCAGATAAAGAAATGTGGCCTATACCCATGAAGGAGTATTACTCAATCTTGAAAGAGGAAATCCTGCCATTTGTGGCATGTACACAATGGACCTTGAGGGCGTCCTATTAAGTTAAGGAGAAGTAAGAGTGATCTCACTACACCAGAATCTGAAATAATCAACAAACGCATTGAGCAGTGGTAGTACCTAAGAGCTAGGGGAGGATGGAAACAGTGAGGTTGTTAAGAGGTTACAAGGTTCCAGTTCTGCAAAATAACTGCTGGAGATGTTAAAAAAAAAAAAAAAAATCGCTGAGGGTCCAGTCTGTTGTCAGTTAAAGCAGCATTCTGCAAGGATGCAGGTGTGAGCACGAACATTTGGTGTTTATCTGGGTGGAATTTGAAAAATCAGATGGAGCTATGCTTTCTGTCCATGAGCTCTTTGCTGACTGGGAACAAGTTAATCTCTTAGTCTATGTGTGAAACACTGTGAAAACTAAAGTAACATGGTAAAAAGTTCTCAGCACAATGTTTAACTCCTCGCACACCCAATACATCTTAATTGTATCATGCCATTTCGTTGGGAAACTAAAGTTAACTTAGATCTGAGTACTTTCAAGCCTGAGAGGTGAACTTGGCAGCCCGGACGCCCACCTATTTGGAGTCCCATGTGCGCGTGCACACGCACTCACACCCCTCCCCCCCAGGTTGTTAGTAAAACCTGTTATAGACACACACACACACACACACGCGTGCGCCCAGGTTATTAGTAAAATCTGTTATAGATCAGCTCCCTCGGGACCAGCATATGAACGCCCACGGACATGCACCTTAAAATCAGTACTTAAGAATCCAGGGGACAGAGCCCTGCTTTCCTTAGCCCCAATTAACAATCTGGAGTGCTGGGGACAGGTTTGCTACTCCCTACTCCAACTCAGCTAGGAGGGCAAGTATTTATAGTAAAATAACTTTTATCAGGAAATTGATACAAAAACACTCCCAGTAGTATAATCTATTTCAATTCAGCTTTTCATAGGTCTTGTTTTTTTCACCACACATCTTTTTACCAGGGGAAGATGTAGGGGCTAAAATTCAGGGTAATTAAAAGTTGAAGTCAAAAGTATTGGTACATTTGTAGAAAAGAGTGGAAGTGAAAAGTGAAAGTAACCAGAGAGAAATGTTGACGCTTTAGCTGTAGCACAATTCAAGTTTATTCCATTTGTTCTTGCAACACAAAATCTAAACACAGTATTTAGCATTCAGATGTACATAAACTAGGGTAATATGAGAAACCCAACTGTGTCAAAAGTATTACATTGTGGAAAAAATGAACTCAAATATATCAAAATGCACAAAGCACTTGTCTTCTTCCTTACTGCTTAGAAAGATATGATTGTTTCTCCATTTACAAAATAGAATCAGGACAAAGTTTTTTTTTTTTTAAATTCTGCATGCAAAACACTGCAGTTGCTTATGCAGGAGGGCACTCTCACCAGCTTCTCCTATACACAGTCGAGTATACAATATCGCAGGGAAGAAAACAGCAGCTCCGTTGAAGTTTTAGGAAAGAAAAATCAAATACGGACGTACAGATTTAAAATTCACTATTTGGAGCAAGAAACCAATGAATGAAGGCCCGCCTGCAGCTTCTACACCGCAGCCGCCTACCTCTCCTGTGGAGCCGGACTGGGCCCGGGGCAGCTGGCCCCCACAGTGCGTGGGTATTTAGGGGCTGCAGCTCAGCTCTAAGTCCACAGATACCAGTCTGGAGCTGCAGGGGAGAACCTTTAGCACACTAAAGTAATAATAAGGAAACTGTCTATACTGATATAGTGCCTATGAATTGATACAAAACTGCAGAACATGCAAAATTTCTTCCAAGATGTAAAATAATTACTTTAGTGGAAACAAAACTTAATTTTCACTATGCATGTAGTACCAAAAAGCAGACACGATTTTAGCTTCTTTTACTCAAAATATGAATATTAAGTGTTGTGAATTTCTATGCCAAGTGGTTCAGAAATACAATATAAATAACCTACTTAAAAAAAATGTAAACCATCTTGGTCAGTCTATTCTATGTTTGTATGTTAGCTTTCTTAAGCAACTGCTTAAAAAATGGCCAAGAAGTAGCCTCTACTGCATTACAAGGGACATCAGGGTAAACTGTACAAAGAATCACTGCTTCCGGCCCAGTGTCTACAGAGAGCAGGGCCGGTTTAGGAGTAACAGATATGCACTCTGCAAAGCCAACTGCCACACACTGAAAAGTAAAACACCTATGTAGGGGTCAAGATCCCCAAGTCTTTTAAATAGTGCTATGTCAAGAGGTGTGAAACCAGATGTCAGAACAGCTGACAGCCACAGCTGGTCGAGTGCCCTCTGTCGGCTAGCGCGGCGCTTCAGCTTAGCGGTGCGATCAAGGACGATTACTGACTTTTAATCCAACTCTAACAAGCTGCATTAAGACAGCAGAATTAGCCAAATAAATGAGTACTGAAACCACCATTTTGATAGATATTTTGGACATAGGAAAATTACAAGTTTAAGCTTGTAAGTGAAAAAGCCACAGGATAAAAAAAGTTCATGGGGCGAAGTACACATACACACACACACACACACAAACACCACCCACCAATCAACAACTGATTAGTAGATTTATTAGCCAGGCTGACTGTTCTTGATACTAGTTTAACTCTGCTGTAGAATGCTACATTGCCTTAAAAAAATCACCACTGATTCTTTATTATCCACAATCTGAGTATAAGTCCCATACCCACCCTCCCCCCCTCCCCCCACTTTTTAAAAATTTGAGGTACATTCAATTATTGCATGACTTGGCTAAGGAAAAACTAATATTTTTAGTTAGCGAATATGGATCGCACATTAAAAAAAAACTTTATTTTAGATGCAAGGTAACAAATTTAAGGGAACACGCCTTAGTTACACTGCTTATGAAATACATTTTAACGTGTCCAAATATTTTCTGCAGGTCATAAAACACCATTTTAGGGCACCGTATTTCAAGAATACAGAATATGCTTTGAAGGTGTCACATTTTAAGCAATGTTATGATTTAGAAAAGAGAAAAAAAATATTATGCAGGTGGGTTGGTGTATGTTTAGCAGAAGGCTATCCACAACTCAGGGATACCTGGTAACAAGTGTATTTTGAAGGGATGGGATTATATTTGTTCAAAAAGTAAATCTCACCCCAGTGATAGCTTTGGTGCAGTTTGTAATCAGCATCCAAGAAGGGTCTGGGAGAGGCATTCCCAAGAATATTGTTCCTTGATCCTCCAAACAATGGAGGCCAATCCATTCAACAGCTAAAGAAGAAAATCCATAGGTACTAAGACAATGTTCTCTTTATGATACTAACAGGCTTATGGCTATGATTCTATCCCCTTTTACTACCAGCAGGAGCTTGAAAATGTTTCAATATTATATAAACATCTGATTCTAGAGGAGAAAAAAAATACACATACTGGAATGATTTCTCCTTTAGACTTCTAAAATTTAACATTTTATAAATAAAACTAGTCAGTTTTCTCTAACGACCCATGAAATCCATGTGAAAGGGGAGAGGAAATCCAAAGTTTAGTCACTCGGCAATTTAGGGGTGTCCCCCTCCTCAGCTTAACTGCGCTTTCACATCAAGCTGACCGCCACAGGGAAGATTTGGTCACCGACCGCAGGCAGCGCTCACGCGCCGGGAGCCCCGAGTGCGTCTTAAGGCAGAAGGCTGGAGCTAATGGGTATCTGAGCACCCTAAGTTGACACCGCAGCAGCCATAGCTGCTGACAGTGAGGGCTACCCCATGGGCATGGTCGGCCTCGGTATAATCAGACCCTTGGCACAAGCTAATTAGTGCATGAGCTGGGGAGCGGACAAAGTCAAACGTTACAGTATATTTTACCTTTGTTCTCCCTTGGGTGGAAGCTACTGAATATGTATTTTCTTGATTGGAAAAGAGGTGGACTTGACCAGGATTCCTGATCACGGTTTTTCCCTTCCTCCAAAACATTTTTTTCCCCTGGTAGTCTGAATTGTTATGAATTTCTCTCCCCCCTCACCCCTTTGAAAGTATTTAGCTAGAGAAGCTGGCAGATAGAGTGACAGACAGACAGGCAGCAGTGTGAGGCCACAGGAGAGTCATTCTTGCAGAGCCGTCAGTCCATCCGCCCATCACTGAAGAAGAGCTTTGATTGCCTGGTTGTCAGTGGCTTCAAAGGCAGTGAGTCCATCTGGACCTTTCACAGTCTTATCAGCACCCTAGAAAAGAGAGGACAGTCTTTATCACAAAATGAGTCCACAACAGAGAGCAGAGAGGGAAAGACTAGATTTGGCCTACGCTGATGTTTACATGGAGAACTGAAAATTCCTTCACTACTGAGGGTTCATTCTTTGGAAGGAAAAAAGGCCCAAACAGTTGGCAAGGCTACACATTCTACTGTAAAAAGGCCAGATTATTTTTCATGTAGTAAAAACTCTAAGTACAAAGCTACAAATACTAGCTGCCAGAACACAAGTGAATTTTATTTTATTTACAGTATTATCCATTTAACCAAGTAGTTCATATTTTAAAAATACCAACACTGTATAAAATGAGGAAAACACTTTTCACTAACAAAGGGAGTATTTACTATGACAAAATTATTCACTGTTTTGCAATACTGCTTTTAGAGAGTGAGAAAGTATTACACATATTTCTAAAAACTCAGAACCAACCTGTAGATAAGTTCCTAATGAACATTTCTTTGTATTTACAGAAACCTAGCAGTAATCATGAATGCAGGCTCTCAAAAGATTCAGCAAAAGACTACTGTTCTGCAGTATTTCTCTTGCAATATGGTATTTTTATTTCAAAAATGTGTACAACAAATACCTCTATGCTCATTTTTCTCCTTCTGCTCATACTAGAATGGAAGCTCCATGGAACAGGAATCTGCACACTAACTCCATGTCCTTGGCTCCTTCAAGAGTCCAGTGCATGGTGGATGAGTTTGTAGCCAAACCTGGCCTGGGTCTCGTGAACACCAGGGTCGTTAGTAGTCCCCGTCTGTACCAGCCTACACCAAACTTAGCCATCTCACAGTCCTTCTCAACCCTTACCAAATCTCACTTTTGTTCGTAAGGCCTACAGAACTGACTGAACTTGGCATTAAGTGGTCCCAGAGATTAATGCTAGTCAGGTTTATCAAGTCTTCTCTTCATACTCTACTCCTGTGGAATTTTCCATTGTGAACACTCCATATGCTGTATACCTTTATGTACTCAGGTTCCACAAAGTCTGCTTTATAACATTTCTCTGGCAAATCCATTTAATCATGCAAATATTTACAAACGCTTTAATATGTAGACACTGTGTAAGAAGAGAAAGAATCAAAAAGTAGAGGGTGCCAGTCTGGCTAGTATGGGAGACAGAAAATCCACATGGAAAATCCCAAGGAAAGAGAACAGCATGAGGACTGTGCACAGGGATGAGGAAGTGTGGGGTGGGAGGAGTCGGTCATTTTGGATGAGGAAATGCCCGCGCTAAGTCTTGATGAGCCCTCGCTAAGTCTTGACGAGTCTACAAGTGTATCAGGTAAGCCCGGAAGGAGAAGATGACATTCTAGAGGTGTTATATTATTGAAGTCCTATTCAATATGACTATACAAGTTGCTATTTCCTCACTGAATTTAATTGCTTCATAGAACTCAGTCAAGTGGGAGAGAAATTTAAATGAGAATTTCAATGTAGAAAGCACTACAAGTGATAACAGGGGTCACTATATCTAAAATTATTTATTCTGATGGCTTTTTTTATTGTATTATAAACATTAAATATTATAGTGAACATCTGTTGCTTTTTTGCTGCTAGAGCTCATTCCCTTTTTGATAAAGTTCTAATTTTAGTTGGGGCAATCATTTGTCTCCAGTGAGGACTTCTGGCACTCTTAACTTAAGATGCCATGTACTTTCTTGCTAATTGTAAAAAGATTTATTTGACTCGAGCAGGATGCTCACTTCGGGAGTCTAAATCTTGACAGATGAAAAGAGAGAAAGGTCATTATTTCTTCTGTCACCAAATGAGAGATCAAAATCTGCACTTTCGTTTCTGCTCCCCCTAGAGAACTAGGGGATACGGGGGAGAAGAGCATCTGGGACATCACTGACACAGAGGCGTCAGTTGTCTAGTCTCAGATTGTGTAACTTAAGATCTATTCTTCCCCACACACCCAGTTTTATGGAGAAAGCACTGACATATATCCATCACTGTGTAAGCTTAAGGCTTATAGAGTGATGATTTGATTTACATGTACTGTGAAAATTAATGGGTTAACACCCATTCTCTCATACAGATACAATAAAGAATCTAGAAAAAGTTCTTGTGATGAGAACTCTTAGTAAGATTTGCTCTAACTTTCCTTTGTTTTATACAGCCATTTTAGCTAAGATCATCATGTCACTCATTATATCCCCAGTACTTAGTTGTAACTGAAGTTGACCCCCACCTTCCTCGAGCTCCCTTAATCCCCTGCCGCCTCTGGTAAGCACAAGTCTGGCTCCCCCCCCCCAAAAGATTTCATATAAAAGTAAAGTCAGCATATTTGTCTTTGTCTGTCTGACTTGCTTTGCTGAGCATCATGTCCTCAAGGTCTATTTCCTGTTGTTCCAAATTGTGTGATTTTGCTTTTTATGACTGAATATTTCATGGTCACTTGTGTGCTGCAACTTCATCTATCTACCCACTGATGGACACTTAGGTCGCTTCCATGTCTTGGCTACTGTAAATGCACTATGAATATGGGAGTGCAGATATTTTTTCAAGGTCCTGTTTTCATTCCCTCTGGCTATATCTTTAGAAGTAGAATTGCTGGGTCATATGGTAATTTAACTTTTTTGAGGAACCTCCTCAAAAAATTGGTGACTTCACCAATTTTCATAGTCCCACCAACAGTGCACAAGGGCGCGCTCTTTCTCCCTATCCATGCCAGCAGTTGTTACCTCCTTGTGGTTTTGTTGTGCATCTCCTTGACTAGGGATGCTGCGCGTCTGTTCATGTGCACGTTGGCTTTTTGCACTCCTCCTCTGAAAAAATGTCTAATCAGGTCACTTGCTTATTTTGAACCAATTGCATTTCTAAGTCCTCTATTTTGAATAGTGACCCTTTCATATGGCTTCCAAATATTCTTTTCCATAGGTGTGTTTTCACTTTGTTGATGCTTTCTTTTGCTATTTGATATATTGCCAGTTGTTTATTTTTGCCTTTAGACTTGTGGTTATGGGTCACTTTTACAGCATTTACTGTAAGAACAGTTTTCCCCAAATTAGGTTGAGTTCCACAAGGCTGGTTCCTAATTATTTTCATCACTTTACCTTTAACACCTAGTATATGTTCACCAGATTATTTGTCAAATAGGTGAAAAAATTCACATCAATTAACAGTGTACGTCAACATTTTATATAAACCTTATCCTTCAGTGATCACACACATCCAAATGAAAAGGGAAAAAACTACCTTTTCCACCACCTTGTATACATTATAAACTACCACTTACCACTGTAATCAGGAAGAACACTACAAAATATTTTAATGAGTTTATATGAATTTTATAACAAACTTTTCAAAGAACCTCATTAGCTTGTAATTTGGGGCATCTGTTTACAGTTACATGATAGTAGGCTAAAGCGTTCAGAAACTGAGAACTTCCAACTGTTCTACCCAAAACGGACTAAAAAGATGAATAATAAAAATCATTCAAATACCTAGTTACATGGTACAATTTTATCTATTGGTGCAGAATTTTGCATTTTAAATTTCTTATTTATATACGCATATAGTAGGCACAGTAAAGAATTTCTGGGTATCTTCTATCCAGTGTAATGCTCAATAGAGAATGTTACATCCCTTACATCTGTGTACCAATTTGAGTTTTTAACATAAAACTATATACATATTTATGCACACATATATAATGTCATCCTTACAATAGTCCTATGAAGCAGGCAGTAATATTTTATAGAGCTTGTTTAACTCAGAGAATCAGGAAGTAATGGGAACTAGAATCTTAAAATCATTAAGGAGTATGATTATATAGTTCCACAATATAAAGGGGACAAAAGAAAGCAGGAAAATAAAATTCAATTTGGTAAGTACTAAAGCCAGAGGGAAGACCTTATCTTCTTATTAATTCTGAAATGTGGTTACGTTAATCCCACTGAGTTCAGATGTCAAGTGATTACTGACCACTAAGTTACAGGACTAGGCCTTAAATCTTTTTTTCCTGATTCAAAGTCACACCCTTCTGTTGTCCCACTCTGCCTCACTGAACAATGTGGTGTAGCGATGTAAAAGAACGAGCATTTGCTGACAACTTCAATTTACCTGGTGGGCTAAGTGTGGCCTTTTTCTTTTACTTAAAAAGATTCTTATAATCTCAATTCTTAAGAGGCAGGTAGCTACCCCCTTCCCCATTAAGAAAACCTTGAATGAAGACCTATACACATGACTGAGCAAGGAGAAGATATGTTACATTTTATTTCTTATTTGAACATAGTGACTAGTTTATTTTTAGCTGTATATATAATCTTTAAGTTGTTATTAAGTTACCCCTTGTGAAATGATTTTAATAGCTCTATGGGCAGTCACATCTAGCAAGAAAAATACAAAGATCATTTAAAGATTTCAGAGACATATTCATTACTAAAAGTGAGACAGGCAAATATAAATGGACCTTTAATTCTTTCCAAAGTCATTCAGAAATTGAGCTAATATATTACTTAGGCGGTGGTAGGTGTATCATAAGTTCTAGATGAGAAAGTCTGCCTATACTTGAAAATTATTTTCATAACATTTTTTAGAGAATGCTCATTTTTGCAGCAAGTCTTCTCTTTTCTAAGAAACATCAAAATTACCTGCATCAATCAATTCTAACTGGTCTTATTTATGAGTTACTTTTTCCAAGTTCAGTACTGTAGCAAATGACTTGCACACATTATCTTACTTTACTACCTGGCTATACTGAGGTACTATAAAATGACTACAGACCCTAATTCTGGAGTCAGTGATTAAATTCTAATTTCCCTTTTTACCAGTTATTTGTGTGATTCTAGGGAAGTTCCCTAAACACTGTGCCTCTGTTATCAATGGTAAAATGGGGGATAAAGAAATTACAGCAGCTTTATAGGATTATTATGATAAATGAATAAATGCAAAGTACTTAGAGTACTTGCTTAAGGGAGCTGTCACTTGATTGTGAGGTATTTTTGCCTCTCATCAACTCCATGGTAGCATTGGCCCTATACTGCAGAAGAAAACGTTTTATGGGAAGAAGTCAAAGAACTTGCTTAAAGCTACCAAATCACTTAGAAGCAGTAGTGAACCAGATTCTAAACTTGGGGATGTGTGGTACCACAGCACACAGTGTATGTCACTAACAAGAGCGATCTAAAATAATGATGTGTCCAGTCTGAAAGATCTAAATAGGTAAAAAAACAATGGACAAATCTGTGAGGATATATGCCAAGCATACAAAACAATACAATTGCTTTCTTTAGTTATTTGGGTTGTAACTTTTGTACCTGTCAATTCCTACTGGTTTTTTAAATGCAGTTTCTTCTTAAAGCAATCCAGAAAATTACTACTGAGTGCTCTGAGGGTCCTAAAATTTTTTGGAAAACAAAATGCCCATGTTAACTATGGGGTTCCAAGAAACAATATAATAATAATTAATAATAACAACAACAATAATAATATAATGTGTTTGAGATTATTTTACCGGGGATAGGGTAGTAGTAATTCAAGTGAAAAATGTCAGTTCCACCTACAAAAGAACTGGATTTCCTAGCCTTTATATCTTACATATTTGAGCTTCAATCTCAAAAGCAGCAAACTCTGCCCTATAGTCAAAGTGCAAAATACCTTGAGGGTCTGATGAAGCTAGTATTTCAAGGAAAAGGAATGGCACGCAAAGTTTTATTATCAACTGGTTGCCTGACTTAAAAAAATAATAGCACAGACATATTCAGTAAAATCACTGTTACCAGGTAAGATAGCATTCTGTATTTTCTTAACAAACTAATATTTAGTTCTTAATTTCCCACAGCAATTGTACATAAGACCTTTTTGGTTAAAAGAAGGTAACTAAGCAAAACTTTGTTCTGTGTCTTCATTTATCCTCAATAAACCAGAAGCAGGTTAACTGAAATAGTGGCCTAAAATACTTGATCTCTTCCAACTTTTTGCATGCTTCATCTAACAGAATGGTTGCCAGTGACTGGTTAATTCCTAAAGCTTGTAATAGCAATCACATCAAGACAACACATAGGACTTCGACGCCCCTTACTTTCAGCAAACCACCTCTAATAACCATCTTGCCCAGTACTACTCCTACAGAAAACTAGGCTTACAAATTTTGAACCAGGGCTCCTCAGAAGGGTGGCCCATAAATGTACTATGACCAGTCTGAAAACTTACTAGTTCACAATGACATTTCTATTCCACTAAAAAAAAAAAAAAAATGCTTTTAGTTAACTTTTTTCTTATAGCAAAATATGTGATAAAGAAACCTGTGGTGATTTATGTTCTATCCCAAGCTCTTGACCTTGTAGTAAACAGTTATGAGCCAGTAGTAAACAGTTTGTGGACCAGGTATTTTCAGCACTGTTCTAGAACTCAATTCTGGATAATGCCTCTAATTTTCTGTCACTGATACCACACAAAATTTAACAATCAAATATTTAGCTTAATCAGTTATATAGTAAAGGAAAAAACACTGGCAAATGACCTCACCTTTGACAGAAGCAATTTCACACAGGAAACATGACCTTCATAGACAGCAGACAGAAGAGGGGTAATATGATGTTTATCTGGAGCCTATGAAATAATAAACAAAGCGATAAGTCACCTTCCACATTCTTCATCTTTTCATTCAGATTTTTAGCCTGGTAGAGAGTGAACAGCGGCTTACCCCCACAACCAATGTCTTCATGAGAGTCTATGTACTGAAGTAGGACTCGTAACTTGTCTCTATCCTTCATTATGTGACTAGCCCCGTTATGGTAGAAGTGACAATAAAACCCAGGGAGACAGGCAGAACGTAGCCAATGAAGGGGTAAAAGATCCCCACAACTGGGCTAGGTAACAGTATCCCCTGAAATGTGCAAAGTTCATGTTACTTGCTATCATGGCTGCTTAAACATCTCCCCAAAATTCTAACATGCAGAAGAACTGGGAGTGACTGCCCCTGTCTGATCACCTATGTGTCTAACACTTCAGTTAAAATCCATCATGCCTGCAAGGTCCTATACTCCACTACATGACAAGACACTTGCTCCCTATGGAAGATGCACTTTCATTAGATAAAAGAAGTCAGTTCATATTTAAAAACCCCAGCTATATATTTCTAAGTTGAGGAAATCTGGTACAATTTCCTTTTTACTTAGGTGTTTTCTACAAGCAACTATTTTATAAATCTATAGAAAACAAATATGCTTTGGGTGAAACAGGATTTTCTCCTCTAGAATGAAAATGTTTACATACATTAATATCTGCTCCTTTCAGCAGCAGAAATTCTAGGATTTCAAGCTGCCCACAATCTGCTGCATAATGAAGAGGTTTCCTTCCACCTTCTAGTGTCCGGTTGACATCTTCTCCCTTGTAAGTCAAGTGAAAACAGATAAATACAGATAAATTAATAAAAATGCCAGGCGTCTCATTTTCCTTTAAGTGGTAAGAAAACCTGAAATTCTGGACAAGAGTTCAAACACAGTACAATAGTAATTCAAATCCTAATTAGTTAAGCTGAAAACAAAGCACAATAATGCTAAATGTAATGAAATATACTATTGTGCTCTTTCCCAAAGGAGTTCAATCAGATGGCCATATAATACCACTGAGCTCAAACACCATGATTTTGTTGCAGATCATGAGATATGTATTTTACTTCTACCAAAACCAAAAACCAAAAACATTATCACAAGGTAATCAGTAATTGCTAGTAAGAATTCATTTCATTCATTCATTCAACACTTACTAAAGTTAACGACTGTATAGCAGGTTTTGTGCTTGGGGGGACAATGGTGAGCAAAATCAGACAGGGCTTTCTGATAGCATGACGGCAATTATTTAGACTGAGACATAGTAATCAAATAATCGCATGATTTAGCAGGTAACTGCAAAATATATCTACTATGAAGATAGGAATCCAATGTTATACAAATATTTATCAGAAAATGACAATTCTGATGATGAGGTTAAGGCCTCACAATAATCTATATGCATCGAGAATTAAGAGATTCTAACAATAACAAACACAAATACCCTTTTTATTGATCACCCACTACAGATTTGGCATTGTACTGAATGCATCACCTCTGATCCTTAAATCATCCTAAATGGAGAATACCTCCATTTAATTTACCAAAAGTATCAAGAGAAAATAGGTTAGTTTTTAAAGGATTTAGTAAGGTTAGAAATCCAAACTCATACATTTTCTAGATTACCATCTTGCCTCTAATTCTCTTGTCAAGAGTGGCAAATATGTCTGCAAGCAGTTTTCTCATTTACAATAATTCACTGAATGTGGATGGCCACCTGCCATGCTGTGTGTCTTGAACAGAGATGTTCAGAACCCTCATTTCATAGTCATTGCTAGCTGTTCTTTCAACTGCACTCTAAATTCAAGTCCCAACCAAATTCAAGATTTAACCTTCTATGATATCTTCATAGGTTTATGATGCACTTAGTCTTCCTTAGAACTCACAGGAGTCAGTTTAATATAGAATGCCCGCTCAACAGTGAGCACACACTTTCAAATTATACTTTCTGATTCTTTGACAGCAGAGTTGATATGCTTTCTGGTATGTCCCCCCACAGCACGATGGAGGGGTTAACAGTAGGAGCTCATCACTACTAGATCTTGGGGAAGCCATATCCCTCTATGAATTTTCTGTAAAATGGAGTTAACAGTTACCCATAGGGAGTTGTGATAATTCAATTAGATGATCCATGTAAATAAGCAGTATCAATGTAAATAACAGGTATACTAAAAACTGAATTAAATCTATTGGTCTTTGTATTTTAAGGGGCTAAATGATGTGCCCTTTTTTCCAAACATAAAAATCTGACTTAAATATTCAGAGGATTATATGATTAACAGATAAAGCTAGGTTTCCTTTCATTTATATTTTCTTTTCATTAATACAAATTGGAAAGGATTAACTGGATAGGTTTTTTGAAAAACATTCAAGATAGTTTTGTCAAAAAGTTGTTTTATCAAAATATGTGACAAGGAATGCTTTTCCTTTCCTTCTTATTAGTATTGTGAGTTTATAAAGTTTTTATCCCTGTGGACTTGCCCTAACAACAATGGAGAGGCTTTATGTGACTGACAGAAAAGAAAGGATTTTTCTGCAAGTCTTTAAAGCAAAAGTAATGCTTATGGAGACATGGGGAATGCAATGCCTGTATCATACAAGTAGAAAGGCCTCAAGAGCTAATGATCTTTCTTTTCCCTGAATTATCTGCACATTGGCTGTGAAGGTGAAACTGCTCAAAAAATGTCTAATAAAAAATAGCAAATTAAATCCAAAGTGAAAAGGAAAGATGAAATATCAAAACAGGAATCAATGAATTGAAAAACAAAAATCAAAAGTTAGGTTATTTGCTATCAGTTAGTATTGATAACACCTTTGGTTGGAAAATATGAGTGAAGATACAAAGATTTTACTGTTGATTACCTTCCTCCAAGAAACCAGATGACTACGCTGGTAAATTTTACCAAATATTAAAGAAAATACATACATACATTTTCAAAGTCAAATACTTTTTAAAATATCACTTTGAGTTTTTTACTAACAAAAGTAGGCACAGATTTAAAAAGGTGGAGAAACTTTGTATAAGACGACTTTGTAATTAGATTTAATTACTGAACTTACACAAGTTAAAGCACTGTGCTACGTGTTTTGGGGAAGCAGACATGGGAATAACCACATGCCACTTAATTGAGAACCAAAATACAGAGGAGCCTCAATGGTAGGAATGCTTGGTAATTTATGCATAGATTTTAAGTAACAAATTGTGACTGCTATGATCATGACAGCTAAATTAAGAAGTAACAGTACAGTAAGATACCTTTATTTGGAGACAGCAGGTTTTTGCACACGTGTGTATGCGGGGAATGTGCCTAGAGAAATTACTTATTTAATGTTATGGTGTACAGAACACCCACCAGCCTACTGGAACCCCGGGAAATGCTAATTTGGAGTCACCCACCACACGGCATTGTTGTGAGGTGTCCCTAAAATAACGTAAGGTGCCTGGCACATAGTAAGCACCAGGAAATGTGGACCGCTATTACTGGAGACCTCAATCATTTTCATCTGATAAAAACTCTACCGAATTGCTTCAACAATTCAACAAAGTAAACCAGTGTTCCAAAAAGTAGCATTGGTCACACTACTTCCTCATTCAAAAAATGTCAACTACTTCCTATCACTGAATACACAATCTTCATGCTGATACTCATCATCAATTCCAATTTATCATTCTGGCCTTTTTACTTTTAACTTTCATGTATATGCTGCTCCCCACACACCAGGGTTTTGTTACATCCTGGAAGCTTCCATTGTTTCCTTTCTTAGGCTTGGTCATTTTATTTACATACTACTTGATCTAATTAAATTCCACTGATTTATCAAGATCGTTTTTTTCCTCTAAAATAAAGATATTAAATAAATTAAAACCGAATAGTTATATCCTCTTATGTATGAACTTCATACCTCTTATGTATGTTTTATGAAAATGAGTACATAGTGCCTTTAAAAAAAAAAAAAACAATAAAACCTGAAACCAAAGTTGTTAACTTAGCAAAATTTAGATGGAAACATTTTTTTTCTGTTAAAATTTAAGTATAAGTCTAAAAAGATGAATACACTTCCATAAAATACCTAGAAGCAAAGATGGGTCAAACACTACACGACATACACTTCAGCGACATCTTTAAAGACAGAGCACCCAACGCCACAATAGTGAA